AATATTAATTTCACAGTGGGTGTTGCTTCTGACCTAGTATTTGCATAGCATGATCTGAGTATTCTTAAAACTTAATTGTTGAGATGGATTACAGTTAGTATTTTCTGCATTAACATTTCCATGGTATGTATGACTAAATATTGCTTTATGAAATTTATAGTTTAGTAATATTCTCATATTTATAAACAAATGTATGGAATTTGAACATTGTTTAATTTATTCTTTGTAAATCATTTTGGCACGATTTTTTTCTTGGTGATATGATGATCAAGTTTATCCGTTCTCTGAACATTTTTTGTGGACGACTTGGCACTGATCACTTAAGCTTAACATTCATTTTTATAGTTGGGAACAAGTCTTTAGAAAATCATTGTCAAATGCATTTGCATTTCTAAATGTCACTTTGTAAGGAGTACCAAAGATTCGATTAAAAAAAAAAAAAAAAAAATATATTTGTTTATTGGAAATATATCTATTAACTTGAAATGAAAACTAAAAGACTTACAGATTTTTAAAAACGTGTTTGGGGAAAGTTTTATTTGAATGTTTTTGTCAAAATTCTCTTTCTAATGATCCATGGTTTACCGTCTGAAACTACTGCTTACCTGATGAAAACTTTGTGACGGGCGGACTTACTATTTTATATAGTCTGAAGAATGTCACTTATCTGATGAGCATTTTCATGTGATTTAATGATGTATTTGTATTTCTAGATATCACTTAATACTGACTAAATTTCTCTCTCTCTCTCGGGGTGGGGAGCAATGATTTAGCAATTCTTGCAAAATCAAATAATTGTTGGATTCTAATGAATCTTTCAGAACTTCATGCATGTCTCTCTCTCTCATATGTACACATGTCCCTTCCCCACTTAATTTCAATCTCTTCATATGTATTAGTTAAGGGTTTGAATCCTTGTTTCTTCCAAGAGGCAACACCATCTGAAAATCTACATTGGATCATGAAATAAAAAAATTAAAAAAAAAAAAAAAAAAAAAAAATGTAATACAGCTATATTATTTAATTAGGGAAGCTTTTAACTGCTTTTATAAATGATATATTAAGAACATAAGTTTTTTGTGTGTGTGTGTACCCATTTTAAATTAAATGTCTCAGGATTTTTAAAACGGAAGCTTAACTTAAAACGGAAGCTTAACTTGTTTGCAAAACTTCAACATCTGGTGAACAATAAAGTATAATTTGTAAATCTGTCATTACTTAAGGTCTTAACTTTTAATTTACATTTAATTGGAGCTCTTATCCCTTTCTGCAAATGACGAGATTCAGTGGAGGCCTGATAATGGTATTTATCTGATTGCTACTGCTTTATTCAGATGTAGGTGGGTGTAAGAGTGACAATTATGAAACTGAGGAAAGCCATTCTACTGATGATTATTTCTTTAACTAACTTTCTGCTCTCTCATCACAGGAAAATGACGAAGTCTTGGTTGCTGGATTTGGTCGTAAAGGTCATGCTGTAGGTGACATTCCTGGCGTTCGGTTCAAGATTGTGAAAGTAGCCAATGTTTCTTTATTGGCTCTCTTCAAGGGCAAGAAAGAAAGACCAAGGTCATAAACAGATGTATAACAAATCACAATAAAGGGGGAAAATGGCTGACATGTTTGACTCTTCTCTTTCAGTTTTCATGAATTTGTGCTTGGTTTTAATCTAGTTAAAACCTATTATTTCTTAAATTTAGTGCCAAAAGACTTTTTTCTTTTCTTTTTGTGGACCACTCAGCAAGAGTTTCAGAAGTATTGAGTGGAAATATTTCACATGTCACTTTGTAAAATGAAGCTGACAAACATCTGATTTGATATAGCAAACTACTTTTCTTCTATTGATAATGAATTAACTTACCCTGTATTTGCTCCATTTCTGGTGCAGAGAGAGACTTTGAAACCTCGTTTGTTGAGTGGTTCACTACCATGAGCATTTACTGAACTATTTTTCTGCAACATCTTCACGAATCTGTTAAGACTTTTTTTTTTTTTTTTACATCAAGGTAGGTAAGGGGCTTGATTTGCTGAGGTAACCTAATGCCTTTGGAAATAGATGAATAATTAGCAATTTATTTAAAGATTTTTCATTTTGAATAGTCAATTTAAGGAAAAAATTTTACTCAATTTCCCAATTGCACTTTGGCCAATGTGCATATAGAAAAATATTGACCAAAATAGAAAAGTTTCTAAAACAATTCTGCTGGCATGGGGATAAGGCAGGATTCAATGATCTTTGTGTGGCTAGGATTTTTTTTTTTTTTCCCCCATTCAGAAGCTTTTTAATGCAATTGACAGGGTTCAAATACATGTAGAGTTTAACTTTTGCCATATTCTGTCCAAGTAGGCATGCAGATAAAGATGCCTATATTGTAATACACCAGGGAACATTCCTTGCTTTGTAATATTTAGAAAGGAGATGGACACTTGAGGTGTAAGCTCCACTGCTCTGAGGAAGTCCTTAAAAGGGCAATTTAATTGTATCCATGGAATACTTGATCATAATGAACTTTGAGTAATAACTTTGCTCTATTCTTTTGGTCTTGTGACACATTGAAGCTACATTAAAAAAAAAAAATTACAGGGAACTTGATTTAAAGGGGAAAAAAATTTTTTTGTTCATTCCTCAATTGAATGCAAGAAAACAAGGACTATACTTTTTTTCAGCAGTTTTTTCTTTAATAGTAAGACAGTCAAGCTTTGCCAGAATTTTTTTTTTTTTTTTTTTTAAACTCGTAGACAAAAGATTTAATTTGAAGGTAAGATATCAAAAATTATTCAAACAAAAAGCAAACTAGATTGACAGTAAATTCTAAAAATAAAATAAACATTGAAAATCATGACATGGATCAGAGAGGTAGGTTTGAGAAAGAACTCATTTTTAACTAAAAAAATTGTAGAAATTCATTTTGTTTTTCATGAAAGATGGAATAATGACAAAAAAAAAAAAAAAACAAAAGCAAACTACATAATGTAAAATCTGCAACAATTAAAACTAATTGCAGCAGCTCATGACCAACTTCAGTAAAAGACTTAAATGTGAGGAAAATGACATGGTTTCATTATAAAATGAAAATATCAGTTTTAAAGTAAGTGAAGTTAAACCATTTCAGAGATGATTAATAAAATTAAAGAAACTCAATGCAACATCTTCCAAAACAAATTTTTTTTTATTGTAGACAATTTTGTGTATCGGAAAGCATTTTTTTTTTTTTTTTACTTCATCTTCTAATTTGACATTTAATATAATTTAACTTCTTTTCCTCTCCTTGTATGCATTAATATAGGCTCAAATCTAGTAACGAATGACATCTCCATTAAAGCAGGTTGATTGGTAAAATATTTTTGAATTTTAGTTTATTTTGCTGTGTAGATTTTTAAAAATGTAAAAATCTTGCCTTATTTAATGAAGTTTTTGCTAAAACTTTATTATTTTCTACTTAAAAAGGATTTAAATATTACAGAAAAAGGGAGAAACAATTTCTTCTAACAGCCAATGCAGAATATTCTATGCTGTTCACTCAATAGACAGGAATGCCATTTAACACAAATGCTTTGCAAAGACTAAACAGCAGACGTTTTTCAAACTGGACTATAAAAAATGTTACTGTTCAAATTTTGCCTCTAAGTTATAAGACATTCATGTAAACTTTATTTCTCAACAAAACAGCTTTGGATTTGTACATTCATTTTCAGATTTCTCCCCAATGTCTGAAAAGGTCTTCAAATGTAAGTAAAATTCTTGCAAAATGACAGAAAATAGATAATTTTAAATGGAGAAAGAAGAGACCCCCCCCTCCATTTTACTTTTCTGGTGGGGGGGGGTGATAGAAGTGGATCAAAAACGAGGTTGATTAGGGCAGACTTAAACCTCCACATTTATAAGAATTTTTTTTTTTTTTTGGGGGGTACTTCTGTTTTCTTCAGTATTTCAATTCCCATCAGAAAATAAAAGCAATAAAATTGATTTTGTCAAACAACCCGTCTATTGATGAGAAAGAGGAGGAAAAAAAAATCTACATGCGATTCGACCTGCATTTTGTTTTTATGAAAAGGTTTTATTTACAGCACTTGAGATTTCAAAATGATCATTTGTTCACATTACTGATCAAGAACCAAACTGCTTATTTCAAAAATGATTTTATTCTTCTTGGACTAATCCTCATTGGGTTAATTTGTCATTAGTCCAATTAGTAATTGAATTGATAGAGAAGGTGGGGGGAAAGAAAAGTTTTTTTTAAAACATAATACATGCAAATGTAGAGGGTGGGGAAATGAAGTTTTGGGTTGAAAAATAAGCCCCATAGATGCTGTTATATATTTTACAGTTTTTCTTCCTACCAAGAATTTTCAGCTTGTTAAAACTTTCTATTTTATTTGGAATTGGCCAGGTGTGGTGGGGAGATAAGTAGTAAAGAATAAAACATTGTATTTTATAAAACCAGAGCATAAATTTTAGATACATTTTTTTTTTTTTCTTATTTATTTTAAATGATTTAAAATGGAAAAAAAATCAGGTAGGGGAGGGGGAATCAATACTCTTCATCATTATATTGAAAAAAAATTAAAAAATATATTTTTAAATTGTTGGTTTTTACCATTCATTAAAATGGTTACCTCGGTGTGACAAGCATGAATAGAGCCATTTTTTTTCATATTGTTACTTATATACATACATATACATATATATATATTAAACAAGTTACGTACATTTTGCATAGATCCATAAAATGTACACACGTGTGCATGTGTGGATTACACACATACACACTATGTATGTATGTATCTAAGTATTCAGGTCCTGCTGTTTTGTTTTTCCCCTTTCCAATATGATTTTTTTTTTTTTTTTTTTTGTCCAATGTTAAATTGTCCCTCAGCAAAAAAGAACTAATTGCTGATCATGTCAAAAAAATATCAGAAAAATCATTTGCATCTCATAATGGCTGGCAGTTTTTTTTGTTTTTTTGTTGCATATTTATTCTTCCTATGTCAGCTAAGAATTACCACTCAGCATCACCGGTTCCTTTGTGAAATACCGAATCTTTTCCATTCAGATTCATGATGCCATCCTTCAGCTGGAATTTCCATTTATTCTTGTTTCGGTGGATCTGGAGGAGAAACAAAAATTTTTTTTTAGAGAATTAAAATAAATGCAGAGTACATTATTTTTTTCCACCTCAAACTTATCCAGTGTTACATTAAATATGTAGATAGCGTTAAAGAATATACAAGCTAGATAATAATGGGAAAAGGATCATTTTACCAAATGTAAGTCTTGAGCCTACCATACTGATTTGAAACATCCAGATGTGCAAGCAGTTTGAATTTTGTAAGTATGAAAATGTGACAGTGATGGATTGACTATCCAAATTATGATCTAATATTGAAAAATGTGTAGAAAAGCAGGAGCAGTAGTAGACTAAGATTTTGATAAAATTTTACTTTATTGTGTCCACGTATGAGAAACTAGATTACCCTTAAACTTTTAGTTCAGGAGTTATGGCTTGATATTTGGTGTTAGTTTTTGCTGATTTCAAAATAGCACAATTTGGCGCTTCATAACTTTGCATTCTAAGAAGATATCAAGTTGATATTTGGTAAATTCTACAGAGTCTAATGTATGGAGAAAACAGTCTTTTTTTATTTTTATGGTGAATAGTTATAGGCTGTTAAAATGGGGAAAATTGTTATATTGTGGTTTTTGGTGTGTGCTATATCACCCATAGAAGCTAGACCATTAGCAATTGAAGAAGAAAAACATTTATAATCATCTGATGACTTATCTTGTGAAAAAGTTGAAGTATATATTTTAAAAAAGTTACAGGATTCCTAGTTGACAAATTTGCACCACCCCTTAAGAAAAAAAGAAAGAAAAAAAATCAAACTGTAGGCCTTTTTCAAAAGCTTGGCAAGTAGCATAGACACTCTCAGGCAAGAAATCTTTTTTATCCAGATGTAAAACATGGCTACTTGAAATTCCCTACTAATATTAAAAAATATGAAAATTTATAGCATATTAAATAATATATGTGTCATAAATAAGATGAAAAATTCCTACTTAATGAGCAAAGGATGGAATAGTACTTTTTTTTTTAAAAAAGAAAAACAGAGCCTGAGAGGATACAGGAACCAAAACCTGAATTCCTTCAAAATCAAAACCGATTGAGGCTGCATATTCTAAAAGTAAGAACCTATTAAATTCACTATCATAGATTCTGAAGGTTTAATAGGTTTGAATTTTAAAGCAAAATCTTTCTCTGGGTCTATCAGTTCCATCTGTATTAAGTTAGCATCAAATAAGGGTTTTTACTTTTTATGAGTGAAAGATAAAAGCAATGTATCTATAATGGAGCAAACTATAAATCCTGAATTCAACTGTCTATGCCACTTGACAAGCTTTCAAAAAAAAGCCATAACTCCTGAACTAAGGGTTTAAGAAAGCTAACATTTTTGTAATTATATTTTCTTATAGGTGGGTACAACATATTAAAATTTCATCAAGTCTAAGATGATATTATATATATATATATATATATATATATATAAAATGCGTCCCAACAACAATTTTTCCTCCCACTTCCATAAAAACACTGATATACACAACCATATATAAATCCAAAATTTAAAAATTAATCAGTTTGTCTGGTGATAAATAGCGTGAAACCCAGGGTCACAAACTCACATAAACCCAACTAAATATATATATATATATATATATATATATATATATATATATATATATATATATGTGTGTGTGTGTGTGTGTGTTTTTGGTATATTAAAAAATACATTAAGGCGTTCTCACCACCTGATGAGAATATTTGATTTCCAAGTAACTCTTTGCCATCCAGAGCTTGTAAAAGAGCTACTGGAGAGAAAGACATCTTTTAAACAACTCATAACAAATTCTTGAGAAGTTTCACATTGTATGAATTAGATGCAGATTGAATTTCATCTGCTTTATTCCTTCACCTAATGTCTTGTTTGTTGCAAATCCTACATTGTACTTTATACTTCAGCTTCTTGTTCAAGGTTTCATATTCTTACTCATTTCTGGTCCTCCACCAAGCACTCAAGTTAACATTACATTCTCTCCATCTAATGTTGTGTCAATGTCTTCATTTCCATCAAACCAATTCCAATGAAAAAAATTGATTTAGCATTTACTCAAATATGAGTATCCATCTAAAATAACATTCATGCAAAACAAATAAGTAAATGCTCTGTCTATTTAATTAAACAGTATTTTTAACTTCATTTAATTACATTTACCGGCCCGAATATTTGAGAAATTTTATCAGAAAACATGCATCCTCTGGCAGGATTCAAACCTGCATCCCCTATGGGGAACCGTCATTAGATCTGACGTGCTTAACCAATTTGACCATGTAGGGACTTCCAGTTAAACAAAGCCTAAATAGTGCCTTTGAACTCACATTCTCTGCTGATTCTTGAAACATCCATATCTACTGTGTTTTGTACTCTAACATAAACAAAGATATTTTTATTTTATGAAATGAATTAAATATGTTCAACCCAATGGAGGATGCATATTTCCTGACAAGATTTCTAAAATATTCAGGCGTGTAAATGTAATTAAATGAAGAAAAAAAAAAACAGTTTAATTAAATAATAGAGCATTTAATCGAATATGAGTATCCATCCAAAATAACGTCTAAGCAAAACAAATTAAAATATGTTGGATTTAATCCATTTCATAAAATAAAAATGTCTTTGTATATGTTAGGGTACAAAACAGCAGATATAGACGTTTCAAGAAATTCGCAAAGAATGTGAGTTCAATAGTGCTATATGGGCTTTGTTTAACCGGAAGTCCTATGTGGTCAAATTGATTAAGCACATCAGATCTAATGACGGTTCAAATCCTGCCAGAGAAATGTAATTAAATGAAGGAAGAAAAAATACTGTTTAATTAAATAAACAGAGCATTTACTCGAATATGAGTAGCCATCTAAAATAACATCTAAGCAAATCAAATTTACCCTTCTGTACATTATATGTAAAAGAGAAGCTGTGGCTAAATTTCAGTTACATAGAGCTAACTTGCTTACTTGTAGTATAATATTGATAGAGCATTCTGGTGCAGTTTTTAATGAGACATCAATTAAGCATTAATGGTCACATAAAGAAGTGATATTTAAATTTTCTTACTTTTTCATACTGGCAAACAACAACATTGTCTGTGTCAAATAATTCAGACACGTCTTCTTCACTGACATCATCACCTGAATTCAATGGTTCCTAAAGAGAAAGAAAAATATTTGTCAAACATTTGATAAAAATCTATTTTTTATTAATTTTTTTTTATTCTTGTACTTGAACATTAATCTATTCAGATTCATATTGCATTTATCTTATGATAATCAAATGATGCAGGTTTATTCTGAAAGACATTTGGCAGTGTGAACTAGAAATACCTGAGGTAGATTAACACTTTCTCAATAATAAAAATAAAAAAAAACGGTTTGTGAAGAAGGCTAGTTTTATTCAGTACATCTAGAGAAAGCTTAAAAATTAATTTAAAAGAATTTAATTTTATTCAATAAATATTTTGAATCATTAAATCTGAACATAAAAATAAAAGAGAAAACAATAAACCAGAGTCATATTTGAAAACACCTCCTCCCACAAGGAATTAACAGACACAGGGCTATTTTTATTTATTTATTTTTTTTTTTAATCATTTCACCCCAAGCAAGGTGGGAAGCCACTAGGACGCAAGGGTTTACAGAAGATTTGGAGCAAGATCAGACAGGAGTGATAGAGGAAAGGATGAGGACAAGTATAGTGGATAGATCAAGGCAACTGGAGATGTTAATTGACATTACATTTGAATAGTTGGAGATTATAGCTCTCAGAGAAACTGGAATATGGAAGGGAGTTCCACAGGCAAGAGGTGCGAGACATGAAGCTATTGGAGTAGAAGAGATGGCTATGTTTGGTAGTTTCAACAGTGAAAGGGTGAGAGCGGGATGCCAGCTTCATAGGACACTTGAATTCACAAAGTCTGGGAACCAGCGAAAGCAGCTCATTGAGCAATTACCATGAAAGTATTTGTAAAAAAAGACAGAGAGAGGCAAATGCGCGCATGTGAGAGAGCGACTGTAGACGAGATGCCAGAACAGGGCCAATTATATTGCATATCCGTTTCTGGATCTTATCAAGAACCCCGAGGCAAACAGAAGGGGCTCCAGACCATATATGGCAGCAATACACCATGCAAGGGCGAATTGTTGATTTGTAGATCTGAAGGATCGATTCCGTGGAGAAAAATTTCCTGGCACGGCACAGGGAGCCAACTTTCCTTGTGGTGGACAAAGCAATTGACTCAATGTATTTTTGTGTGTGTTTGGCTAAAGAATTAATTCAACAAAACAAAAATGAGATCAATTTCTATATACTGTTCAACAAATTTAGCATTGTTTCTTAAGTAAATGAAAATTCATTAAATCTATGACTCAAAGCATCAAATTGATTGCTAAGAATGAGTCGTATTCAAAATACGAATATTTGAGTGATATGATCTCAGGGAACAATCTGCTAGGGCATTTTCAATAAAAACAAGAAAACTGGAGGAGGCAATTCAACACCTTAGTGGCCAGGAGCAAAAGGTGTCAATTTTCAAAGCTAATATAAGGAATTTGCTAAACAAAAAGGAAGAGAGTACTTACTAGATGTTTGTTGAACTTTGGTGTAAAGTTAAATTCAGAGAGCACCCACTTAATAATGATTGCAACAACTTGTATGAAAATTGTTTCTCAGAAGATGATACTCGTTAGAGATAATAATCCTTAATTAATTTGTAGAGGACAACAACCAGTATGACGTGTGTGTGTGTGGTGAAAGTTTTTTTTTTTTTATGACAATGCGTTTCTCCTTCGTGTGTTAGGTTTGGCATCTCCAGGTCAGAATGAAAGTCAAAACTGTGTGAGTTTTGTATTAAAGCTGTTAATGTCTTCCAGTTGGAATTAAAGAATAAAATTGTGTTGTTTTATATTAAAGGAAAGTACATTATATTAAGAAATGGACAAAGTCCGACAATTTATTTATTAAAGACATTTTTATGTTTAACGTTCTTTTTTATAGATACAAGTATTTAAGTAAATGCTCTGTTTATAATAAACAGTATTAAATAACATTTACCGGCCTGAATATCCGAGAAATTTTCATAGAAAATATTCGTCCTTTGACAGGATTCGAACCTGCATCCTATACGGAACCGTCATTTACGCTGACGTGCCTTACCGATCGGCCTTGCCTACGAACGCTCCTTTGTGGCCGATCGGTAAGGCACGTCAGCGTAAATGACGGTTCCGTATAGGATGCAGGTTCGAATCCTGTCAAAGGACGAATATTTTCTATGAAAATTTCTCGGACATTCAGGCCGGCAAAGTACATTGTTATTAAAATAATCTTTTCCCTTTATCTGATTTCTCCACTTATTCTAAATTCTACTAAAACACACACACATTATATCTCAAAAAGATATAACCATGCTGCAGTTTCACCATTCAGATCTTCTGGCTGAATTGGTTATATAACCAAACTAACGTGAATAGCCAAGTAGTGAAAATGTGGTACCTTGTTAAGGTTTTTATATTTTTTTTTAAGATAATATTTACAAATATTGTTCTACAAACTAGGAATTGAGCACTTCCTAAAATCTACTGGAATTGGTCAATTTTGGGAAATTTTATATATTTATATATTAGATAGATCATTCCATCTCAAATCAACCAATGGCCACAGGTAATCCCCCCAGAAAAATCCAGGAAAATTCACAAGTATTACTTGATCAAAAATTGATGAATCCTAAATATTAGATCTGTCTGTATCTTTTAATAGTTTTAAAATCAGTATATCTTGAAATTTCACTACATTTTTTGAGTTTTACTAAATAAGGCTTTTAACAAATTTCTGACATTCATAGCACCAAGAATATTGCATATACAACACCTTGGCAGCATTAATTCTTAATTGTATTTCAAGGATTTGTCCAACATGCTGCTTAAAAGATTGTAAACTTAGCACATAAATTTTGTCGATCTTTTTCAATATCCCGTGCAAAGAAACACTAACATAGGAAATTGAAAGAGATTACTGTCAAGCCAAAGAGAAAATTAAAGAAAGATTAACAGAATATGGCTATGATAAGATAACAAAATCTCTTACCTCTTCGACTCCACCTGATTCAACTTCTTCCTCATTTGCTACATCATCTTCTTCATCTTCATTATCATCATTGTCATAGTCATCATCTTCCTCGGAACTTGTATCCTCAGGACCATCTAGTTGAATTATACCTGCAGGCTAAGGAGAAAAAAAAAAGGCATTGAGGCAATAACTACTTTGGATTGTAAATTTTAAAAACCCTTTTAATATTTCAACTTTATTTAAATATTTGGACTTATCTCCTGATCTTTGTTGTTATTGTCTGATTTCAGCCATTGTGTCCTGTGGCCTTCTTTAAGTGCCTGTCCAAACAAATTATGGAACATTTTTCAGATTATTAAGTTTCTGTTTGTAGGCATGCTTTACCTGAGATTTTAATTGACTTTCAATATTTACCTGCTAAATTTCACACACTTCTCTGCTGAGAGAATTGGAAGCCAGGCCAATAAGAATTGACCAAGAAGAGAAAAACACCTTCAGTCCATCATGTCTGTGCTCTTTTACATAAGCCATTTACTATGCAATATTATCTTCACCTCTTCAAACAATTGCTACTTTATGCATTTTCTTAGAGAAGAATATGCTTATCTACAATAAATTCTGACTTTTCTTTAAATTAAATATGTTCCAAGCATCCAGCTAGTAATTTCATTTGTTTATTAGACTTTAAAGGCAAAGTTTTTGGGTTTGTCTATATTTCTGAGATGAGGTATTATGTACAGTATTTACATTAAACTATTGTTCTCATCTTTGTCTTTAAATTTCCTGGTATGTTTCCTCAAGGACACATGGCCAGTGGATAAAAGGCTAGATCCAGTGACAGACCCAAAGAAGGTTTCAATTTGTTTAAGGCAGTAGAACTTTCAAAAAAATTAGCAAATAACTGATTTCCATTGGCACGTGGAATTTTTACCCCAATTAAATAAAGGGTTCAGTTCTTCCAACCAATATGAAAAGGCCGGAAAATTCACAAATATGGCGACAAAGATCAATAGTCCGACTTGTAAATACTGGCAAAGTTTTTATTTTCAAATTAATTGTTCTCCAATATAAAAGAAAAAACAATTTTTTATATTCAAAAAGAATAAACAATTTTCCATTAATTTATTGATAAATAACAACAAAGCTTAACTTGTAATCCTGAACAGGAATTTCTAATGAACAGTTATCCTAGTCTGGCTTGAATTATTCCAACATAGCCAAATATTATTTTCAAGCTATTTTTGAAAGATGGCAGAAGATAATAGGACAAAATATTAAATTTGTTAGTTACATAGTTGCGAGCTCAGCATTATAACCAGGTGCTCTGTAGCTTGGGGGGGTATTCAAAAAGCTCCTACCCATTCTCACATGTGGCAAATTGTTCCCTGCATGTGTATGATCTGCACTGCTCCACATCAGTGAGACTTAGGCACCAAGTGTTAGTCTTGCAGTGGTTGAAGTTTTGCTGGATCTGCAGCACTGAGTCTCAGTATGACTCCATCTGAGTTGTTAACGAGGCTTGGTATTGAGGATATAATATCAGTGCTGCACACTCATTGTCTTAGATGGTTTGGTCACATCCAACAAGCTTTATCATGCATCAAGATTGTCTGAGTTCAGGGTTCCTGGTCACAGAGGTCGATGTAGACCTAGAAAGACATAGAAGGACTGCATTGGGATTGAGATGCAGGAGTGCTGCATTGCCCATATTAACCCGCTTCACAAGGATGCTTGGAAAGTAGGAGTGAGAGCTAGCTGACTGCAGCCTACCACAGTCACTGGGAAATCCGCAGCTGTATAATCAAAGCTCCGAATCTTGACTTGACATAGCATCAAAAAGCTTGTCACTGGTTGATAGAATTACCATCTGAATTTATAACTGACTCTTCAACATTCAGCCATATTATTTAAATACTAGCAGCCACACCCAATTGATCGATCAGAAAAAGCGTTCAATTAGAATGGAGCAAAAACAGCATCATGTTTAGATGTAACAGAGTCTATCTTCTTCAATTACTTTAAAGTACTTTCATTAAAAAAACATTTTGAATTAATGCAGTTACTGATATAACAAAAGTAGTCTGTATTTATTCAATTGATGTTTGGTTAAAATCAGTTGGATGGATCTTCAGTGAAAAGGTGACAGACATTTCTCTGTTTTATATATATATATATATATATTTTGAACAATAAGAAAATAAAAAATTAAAATCATTAGACACACTGGGTTGTAGATTAATATTATTTTGTTTTTTTATTATTATTATTCCATTTAGATTCCTCGACTAGTTTCGACCGAAATGGCCATCATCGGGAGGATAAATATTTCTGCTTGCTGTGAACTATAGAAATGAATGTCTTTTGTTGGAGAAAATGAACTTTTGTCTGTAGTTTTCATTTGTTTTTTTATTTTTTTATCTTTTTCACATGAATCTTTTAACATTCCTTGTATTGGTCAAACAGTCTCTTTTAAGTTGTTATTTGAGATAAGAACTGGATAGATACATTTTGTCCTGAATTCTCTGGTCAGTTTGACAGTTTTATTGGACCTGGTGAGGGGATGTGTCTTTGTTTAGTGTTTGTGTGTGTGTTATTTGGTTCTTAGGGAGTGAGTGAGTATGATATGTGTAAGCGTGTGTATTGCTGTAGGTGTGTGTTATCATTTGGCTCATTAGGGAGTGAGTGAGTATGGTGTGTGTACGTGTGTATAATCGTGTGGGTGAGTGTATAAGTGTGAGGCCTCCATTCCTCCGTAAGCATGTCTGTCTTGTGTGGGTGAGAAATGTGGGTAGGTTTTGATTTGTTGATTGTTACTATTATATATTGTTAAATTTATGAGAGAGATATGGTCCAATGCCTGGGATCAAATTTATCCTTTTTATTATTATTAAACATTTAAACATGTTTTCTTAAATTCAATTGACCTGGTCTCTCGGGGTTTTTTTTTTTTTTATTGTAATTTAATTTTCAGACCATTTTCATTATCATTTCAATAATGGAGGCAAGCTGTTGTTTGTAGATATTAAGATGCTTTTTAATGGCACTGCTATTAAACAACTTGTCATCCTTCAGGAAATTGTTCATATTGTATATCCAATGTATATTATTGATAGGTCTGTTGATATTTGCAATTATGAAATTGGCACTTTAATTTTCTATAGTATATTGTGATTTTTATACATTTTCTGGGCTCAGTAGATGAAATATTTTGTTTAATGATGTGTTGCTTGATGAATTCATCCTGTTTATAATTTGTTGTGCATCTGATTGCAGTAAAAGATATCGATGATTTGTTGTACTGTATTTTTAGTTTTTTTTTTTAAGCATTACACCCCAAGCAAGGCGTGAAACCACTAGGATGCAGGGGGTTGCAGAAGATTTGAAACGAGAGCAGATAGGAGTGATAGAAGAAAGGATGAGGAGAAGGATAGTGGGTAGATCAGGGTAACTGGAGGTGTCGATTGACATTACATTTGAATAGTTGGAGATTATGGCCCTCAGGGAAATAGTAATTGGGAAGGGTGTTCCACAGGCGAGAGGTGCGAGATATGAAGCTATTGGAGTAGAAGAGACGGCTACATTTAAAAGTTTCTACAGTGTAAGGGTGGGAGCGGGATGCCAGCCTCATAGGGCGCTTGAATTCATGGAGTCTTTGGTGTCATATAGTTTCTGTAGAAATAATTTTATTTGGTTATCAATAATGTAGTTGAGAAAATTATTGTTAACTAAAGTTTATTTTATATGTTTGAGTTCATTAAAGAGTATCTTCTTGGAAGAGGCACTTAGATGTACTCTATTTAAGAAGTAATCACTGCTATTTTATATCTTTGTGGGTATTTACTATTATAGTTTAGGAGACAGGCGTTCTTATTAGTGGGGTTTTTTATACAAGTTAGCATTGGAGTTGAGTTATATGTAAACATATAGGAATGGTATTTAGTTACTAACACTAAGTTCATACAAGAATTTTAGTGTAATTTCCAAAAGTCGATTTTAGGTTTGTAAATTCATTATTTTTTGCTAGTATAAGAACGTCATCAACGTACTCTTTGGAAATATTTAATGAATTGGCCAAAAGTGCATGGGACAACAATTATTACAGACAGTTTCTGGACTCCCTTAGTTCTTCCAAAATGAAGACTGTAAGAACATTAGAAAAACTTATAGAATTTTCCTTATTTGTCATATTCAATATGTGGGTGCATGTATAAAATGGCCAGTTAATCATTTTCTAAACATACTAGTCTGCTAGGACAGTTAGCCAATCCCTGTTGCAGACACCTGCTTAGGAATAATTGTGTTTGTTCAACAACCACAGAGCTCAGTATGCCGAGCGGACCTTAATTACAGTTCCTGGGAGAGAGTGCATAATCTGGCATGATCACCAGTTGAAACAATACCAGTATATTCAAACTTTCAGCCATGATGATTTGGGACTTCATACTAGAACAACCATTAACACTTTCATCTAGCCAATTTCACTCACAAGGATTGCATTAACCCATGTTGTGATTTTTCAAGCACTTTCCAAAGGTGCTGCATGCTGCACTGTAATTATCTCCCCTGTTTGATTACATCAAGAAGTCAAATTGACCAGGGTGAGATTTGAACCCAAGTCTCATGGCTGGAAAGTGAGCATTCAAACCACTCAGTCACACACATACACATGTTTATCAATTCACCCAAGTAAGGTGATAATGCCACTAAGATGCAAGTGGCTACTGGTAGTGAAAGAGAAGAATTTAGAAGGAACTAGAAGTCCAAACCTGAACAGGAAACAAGGGATAAACCTCTACTCCAGTTCAAAATATATATGAATGATAGATAACTATTTTCAAAATAGTAGCAAGACATATGAATTATGATTTTTTTTAAAATTCTTTCATACCTTATCTAAGTCAATAGGTGTGTGTGTGTGTGTGTGTGTGTGTGTGTGTGTGTGTGTGTAAAAAAAAAGACAACAGGAAAACTCATTTTAGCTGACACATTTTGTCCTCTGATGGACTTTATCAAGGCAAATGTAATTGTTTTTAATTTTTTTTTTTTTTTTGCAACAAGTATTTATAAGCAAGAGTAAAAATATTTTTATATCTACTGTGAAACATTACATAGCAATTATTTGCAAATTTTGACTCAGGAGCCAAGGCAGAAGTGTTAAAATTGTTCAGGTACACAAGGCTCATAAAATTAAGAAATTTTATATATATATATATATATATATATAAAATCTGTGCACACATGTATATTTGATGAAATTTCACCTACCTTGCTATACTTGGGCCACACATGAAATCAATGCAAGTATGTGACCATGAGTTATCAACTTAGCACTTTTTTACAGGTTTATTTAGATCTTTTTACAAATTGAAGTTTAATTCTTGTTAAAATATACTTTTTTTAACATTCACAAGATTAACCTATTAATAATACAAGATATAGGAACACTTAATTTCAGAGGAAAGTAGAATTGAATTTAATTTGTGTCAAAATTAAAAATATACTGTTATTACTGGGTACAGATAAATTTTTGCTATTGTTATTATATGTAGACCGCCTGCTGCACATTCTGTTGCTGACAAAGTAAGACATAGAAATTTATAGAAAGTGAGAAAGGCTGACTTACTGCAGAAGTGTTAACTGTTTGATGTGCCACTTGAGTAGTAATCGGAACGGCATTATCAACTGAAGCAGTAGTGTGAACTTGATTATGAACAAGTGTGCTGGCATTGGGAATCGTGATTGTTGCTGTAGCAACCTGTGAAGATGACTGAGCAGCTTGGTGTGGAATGTTGGACACAGTAATAAAATGACCGTTACCTGTTGGGAAGAAGAAGACAGAAGAGAAAAGGGGGAGATTAGAGTTAAGAAACATTTAAGTCAAGCAAACTTTGATGAAAAAAAGTTATTTTGGAATTTATCTTTATTAGCAAAAGGCAAATGTTTATTTTGTAAAATATCTCAGCATTTATCAAGCAGTTGCCTCCAAAAGTTATTGATCATTTTATTCTTCAATTTTCTTCAACAAGTTCTCAAATTTTTAGTCACCTCATCCTGAGAAACAAAATTGATTACTTACAATCAAGTAATTGTCATTATTGTTATTTTCTGCTAATATTTGTGGATAGGCCTACAAATTTCTACTCGTTATTTTGGCAACAATTCCATACAAATCTTTCACTAAAACCAATTTCCTACACAAGTATTGGTCCTGAAGATGAATCTTCAGAAAATAGAAATTGAATTGAAGGGGAAAAAAAAATGCATAATTCTAATAGAAAAATATAGAGATTTTTTATTTTCTGTTTATATGAAGATATTGATTACAAGTGTGATTCTTGAGGCTTAAGTTTTGAAAAGAACATTAACAGCTAAAAGCCTTTCAAATGAAACGGCACAGCACACCATTTTTTTTTTTTTGTTTAGCAACATCTGATGAGAATAAAATGAGTGAATTAAACTTGTAAATTAAGCAAATCTTTCCTATAATAATAATAAATCAACAGTTGGATATTACTTATGTTGTGACTAACAGTATTTAAACAGATTCTCACCTGTTAAATTTGTCTAGCTGAATGACTTAGTTTTTCATATAATCAACTTTTTAAACTGTTCTAATTCCTGAAAAACCCAAGAGTTAATGTGTGCTGTTACATTTTGTTCAAAAGAGGATCCTTCTATAATTAATTACAGAAATAGCTAAATCAATATTGGAGTTACAAATAGTTGTATTAATAACAAAAGACTGGATTCATAATTAAATATATAACAGTTGAGATGATGAACCAACAAACAGTATCCAATTTTCAAAAGTATTTATGCTTTACAACTGTAAATAAATCCGGCAACATAAGATTATCTCCCTTGTTTTGCTGGAAAAGTGTACAGTACACAAAAAATACTATTGATATGCATCAAACAGCACAGTTGAAAATTTTTTTTTTTTTTTAACTAATTTTCACAAGAGCCACTCAAAGTATAAGGTTATGTGGGAACATAATAGCATAGGAAAAGAACAAGTGTTAGGAGTATAGAGCTGAAGAAGAATTTAGAAGGAACTGGAAACACAATCCTAAACAGGAAACAAGGGATACTCCTGTTCAAAAAACAGGGGAGGAGTGTGAACCGGACGATAGGTGAACCTATCTTTGTTTTTCTTGTTACTTGCCTGCTGGTTGAAGGGTGAGACCAGCTGCCAGTTGCTGTTGAAATAAACCAGAGCTGAGAGCCACAGCAGCTGTTTGAGCGGGGCTACTCTGAAAGGCAAAAGAAACAGAATTTAGCATAAATAAGGAAAGAAAAAGATTAAACCTCAAATAGACAACAGACACACTGACATAGAAGATGACTTAAAAGATAAAAAAAAAAACATCACATAATATTGACAGTAAACAAAGTTAGCTATATATGATTTTGATCTAAACAAAAAGATTTATTTTACATAAGTGTCCCCTGAAAAAGCATGCCCATCAAATCCTTCACTTTCTGCAATGCTGACTGTGGCACCCCCACAAAAAAAAAAAAAAAAAAAAAAAAGTTTCAAAGACACCATGTCTCCAGATATTAATTAAATAGGAAACTTGTGATCAACAGATGAGTATAAGAATGTGGAACCAAATTTAAGCAAGGTTCCTTGGAAAGCAATAAAAACTGTGGCATGTTGAAAACAAAACAGTAGTTAAAAAAAAAAAAAAAAAAAAAAAAATGAATGAAAGACTGATGATTTTTTTTTAATCATTTCACCCCAAGCAAGGTAATAAAGCCACCAAGACACAAGAGTGTTAGAGAATATGAGAAAAAGAGAAAAAAAAAAACACTATTATGGAGAAAGAACAATAAAATAACAAGAATTAAGAAGACAGAAGATAACAACTAACATTGCATTTAAATCTTTGAAGATCAAAGTTAACTGGAGAGCAAGGAGCTGAAAAAGAAACTATTAGCATAGAATTTATGATTACATCTACATTCATCCAGATTAACATGTTAAAAAAAAAAGTTTAAAGTAAATAGGATATTGTACTAATCAAATATTTTTATTGCTTATATCTTTTGGATTTATTTATCAATAAAATTTGTGTTGCATAATAAAAACTGACACCATTCCCTAAACACATAATCAATATTTTTAATATGCTAACAATCACAAGATGAAATTAACATCATATACTGCTCATATAAATAAATATAAGTTGAAAATTTTACCAATATTGATTGGTTAATATCAATTTTATTATGAAAACAATGACTTCAATAATATGCCTTATTTCTTGGCATAGTTATATTATTTACACTTGTCCCAAATCATCTTTTACAATACAGCATTACTACACTGTCCAAAAATTAATTTTTTGTGGGAAGAAAAAAAAAGTATTGTAAAGTAAAGTTCCGAAATCGTTTATACAAAAAGTTGTAATGAGTTATCTACCTTGACTCTCAGTTTCCTCCCGCCATTGTAATTGACCTTGACCTTCATTCAAGAAATCATGCCAAATAAATATTTTCTCCCACTCCCAGAAACAAAAATAAAAAAGGTGAGTGAGAGATGATTTCATGAACGGCCGATTTGGTTATTTTTGTCTAAGTTGCTTTCTTTAAGCAGAAAAGAACGCCATGAATTAGTGAGAACCAGAAATATGATTTATTTATTATAGCTGTACATTTATGAAATCTCTTAGACTCTAAAGGTTTGTTAAAAGGAGAAAATATATTGATATTCAGAATTCTTACAATTCAGACAGCATACATATTCATGTGTAAATGCTACAAGTGATTTAAAATAATAATAGCAGCGCAGAAAAATCTTTTTACTAATACTTTATGAAATGGATTGAGTCCGACAATTATTTTAACATATTTTCTGTTTATACATTATTTTTATAGATATAATTTATTTAAGTAAATGCTCTTTTATTTTTTAAATTAAACAGTATTAATTAAATTTACTGAGCTTTTATTATTAAGTATCCCACATTGTGATAATAAAAGATCTTCCAATCATAATTATCACACTATGGGATACTTAATATTATCACACTGTGGGATACTTAATAACAAAAGTGATAAAAACAAACTAAAATGAAATTGGCTAGACTATATATCTAAACACACCCACATTTGGATAAGAATCGTATAAGAATAAGTTAAGTTTAAAACTTCAATGGCCCCTCCACCCACTTCAGGTGCATATGTAGTTACATCAACGTAAACATCAATTTAGTCTAATGAAATCCTAAAACATGAAATGTGTCACACAAAAAGTTTTCCCACTCTAGTCATTAATTTTCCTTATTTTCCTATATATATATATATATATATATATATATATATATATATATATATAAATAAAATAAATAAAAGGAAAATTAATAACTAGAGGGGAAAATTTTTACACGCACACAAGATGTAACAGCAAAATTGTCCAAATAATGTTAAGTATAATTTTCTATCCCACAAAATATTTAATGTCTTAAAAAAAAAAAAAATTGAGTTTCTTTTCCCCAGGTTTTCAGATAAGACTTAGCCATCTTGATACCATTTGCCGTAAGAATCACTCAAATATCCTTTGAGTTAGTCAGCTAGAAAGAGAACAGGTTAAAATCATTTTGTGTAAGACCTACTGAGCAATGGTGAGAGGAAAAGAGGCCTTCAGTAATGATACCAACATTCATACTCTGGTTTCCATCTTCAAAGTCAATTCAAGAACCATCAAGAGAATGGTGAATATGTTTAAAAAAGAAGGAACAGTAAAGAGGAAAATGTATCAAGAGGTCACAACAGCAAGAGGGATCATCATTTCAACTTAGAGCTAAAAAGATCAATTAGAAAAGATCCAACTCAATCCATAAGATGTTTAGCATGTGAGAGGAGTTTCAGTAATGACAGTCCAAAGAGCAGTGAAAAAAAAAAAAAACAAACTTGAAAATGAAAATTGTATGTGAAACCTGTGAGGTACCTTGTTACTCTAGGACAGAGGGTTAGAGAGATCAATGATCATTTTGAATAAGTTGGTTTGGTTTCTTTTGTTTTATGGCATATCAACCTCAATGGGTCATTTAATGCCAACAACTTTTTTTTCCTAGTAATATTTTTGTTTTTTTTCCTCAAAAATGTACAGCTAGTAACATTATTTTTTCAAAAACATATAGCTGGTAACATTAACGTATAGCTGGTAATATTTTTTTTCTGCAAAAACTTATTTCTGGTAATAATATTTTTTACAAAGTATTTCTGGAATTAATACACTTTTATACTGCTTTTTACCTCAGTTTCGGGGTTAACTATTTGCCCATAGCTGGGACCCTAACAGGGTTACCACCCTGGGTCAGGGTGGACCTGGGAACACCAGCAATTAAGAGGTGGTTCCATGCTCCACAAAGCTTCCTGATCAGAGGCCTTGCTGTTGGACATAGTTTATTGTCTTACTCTGGATGCGGAATAAGTTGGAAATTTATCCTGGAATTTTTATATATATATATATATATATATATATATATATATATGAACTTTATTTCAATCCTTCATAAGCTTCCAATCCTTAGCTATGATTAATTAATGACGAACATCATTTTTGCTTATGATTGATTTCATCATGATTATTCTGTTAAGCTTGGAGAGTAATTATATATTCTTATTGCTCAAAGTAGAGTCTAATAGTGTTATAAAAACACCCAGGGAATTCCAGTAAGATATCTTTTAATCATTTCTAAAATACAATGGTTCAAACTTAATCTAACAAATGGACAATTTTGCTTTTACACCCGACGTATGTGTATATATATATATATATATATATATATATATATATATATATATATATATATATATATATATAAATATATATATAGATCCAACAGTATGAAGAAAAATATATCGGAAAAAACAAACAAAAATCATTATATATTATGCTGTTTTAATGTTTCTGACATTGACATATTAACATTAAAACAGCATAATTGTATATAAGGATTTTTGTTTGTTTTTCTGTATATATTTTTCTTCATATATATATATATATATATATATATATATATATATATATATATATATCATTAGAGTTAATGACTCTTTATCCTCTTTTAAACTAACTCCTCTCATGATATATTGGGTTATAATAATAATAAAAAAGAAAGTGCAAATAGATTATAGTGAAATAAGTAACAAGATGGCAGCTGGTTGGACAAAGTCATTAGCAGATATTTTTTGTGAGCTACAAAACTTTATTTTTATCACTTTGTTGGTTAGCAACTAATTGATAAAAAAGATACAAAATGATGCAGCAAGTGCTCTATCTTCCAAATTAGTTGGCAATTAGACAATTCATAACTATCACAACTCTGCTTGGAAAATGGATGAAGAAAGAGAAATATATAAATAAAGAACAGGGGGAGGAGAGACAAAAAAGAAAGAAGAAAAAGGAGAGTGAATTGGGAGAGGAAAATAGGGAGAAATTATTGATTTGTTTTTTTTTTTAGTTTATCAACCCATTGTGGGTTATTTAAAGCTGAAAAACATTTTGGGTTGTAGGAAGAAAGAAAGAGTTAAGAGAGAGGAGAAAAAGTAAGGAAGAAGAGAAAAATTAATGCACACATGCACACGTCTGTGCAAGTATGTGCACATGAAGAAGATGAGACAAAGTAGAAAATTTTATTAAAACTTGTTTCATCAGAGAAGCATATATTTTCTTTGGCTTCTTCAGTTTAAACGAAAAAAGACAAAACTGTATTTAGGAAAATGTGTTGGGATCTCTGAGGATAGGTGGGTATCATAAATCAAATTAATTACCATAGCTTATCCTAACTTGGAGAGTGTCTACTTTTTTGTTTTATCTATATCTGTATTAGAGGCAATTTGATCTTGTAAGATTTTAAATCAAGGATTTTTTTTTTATACT